TAAAAATTCTATTTCCTGTTAAGAAAAACAGAATATTACTGTGATGTTTCTATATTACAGAGGTGGTGATGAAGGACAATGTCGTGTGGGTGATCCTGTTCCTTTCTTCAATACTATGGTCAATTTTCATTGTTATATTTGAATGTGTGGTAAGTATCTGTCAACTTATCAGTTCTGAAAGTAAGCAGAAGGCCAGGTGACTTATGTAATACATAATAAATATTATACTGGTGATTTCTTAAACAAACGTAGTTTATTAATTCGAAATTGTTTTCACATGGATGGTAAGACTCTATTGATGCTGCTAGTCCACCAAATTTCTGCTAAGGAAGGATAACCCTTTTCTACTTGGCAGGGAAATCATCTTATTCTTTGGTTATTCAAAGATTAGTTTAAAAAACGTATAAGAATCAAAGATAATAAAACCATTCTCAGGTAATTTAAATGGAAGAAATCTCCACAGGGGAAGATTTTGTTGAGGTAGATATTTTCCTAGAAACAAGGCTACTTTGATATAGTCTCATTGCATCAGGTTTTTTCAGAGAAGTACAACAAAATATGACTCTTGACATCCTGTTTTTTAAAAATAAGTCATATGCAAATGTATCGGATAATTATGGACCTTCCACCAAGGTCAAATAGAAAAAGTTCTGTAAGTCAAATGAGCTTATAATCATGATGGATTGATGGACAAGAAATATGATGTAGCATGTTTCCCCTTTGTAAAGGATTCAAGAAATGAGAAGAGGAAAAAACCATCAAGGGAAAATATGACAAGATGGGTATGTATAACAAATTATCTTATAGAATCTGATTTTTCTCATTGTGTCTTATGAGATTTAAAAAAGAAGAAAAATAAAAGGAGAAAAAACTTGACTTCTACCTATTTAAATTTTTCCTCATTCCATCTTTTTTTGGGCCCACCATTTTATATTGGAAGGTGGAAGAGGGGAACTATACTCATGACCTTTGTCCCATTCTGTTCCATTACATGATAGTTTCATATCTTAATAACTTTTCTGCAATTTCCCACATGGTATCAATGGTCAAGTACTGGAGTTGTTCAGATTCTTGATTGTAAAAGAGCATTCATGTCTTGTGAACAATTTTTAAAACCAAATTGCTATGAAAATGCATGCAGCTGGTTCATTGAAGAGTCTGCAAAAACATGGATGTCAACATTCGAGCCATAGAATGTTGCTATGTATATGTGATGTAATTTTATCTTCAATAATTTCAGGATAAGGAAACTATCTTACCAAATAGGAGGGAAGGCGTATCTAAAAAGATTGATTTCCTGATTGTTAGGTCAAGGCCGTCAGAATAAAACCATGGAAACCATGACTTTACCCTGTCTTAAACAAGAACTGCAGGTAAATGATCCCTGCTGTGCGGGAAAAGGTGTCAATTTTCGCACTGCAACAAAGTAAGGAAATAGTGTTTCAGCTGGTGTCTTTGACTGAACAAATGAGATTTTGACTCTGCCTTGTGAAATTATGGTAATTTTCAGGAGTATTGTGAATGTGGTAGGTTCATCTACAATGAAGAAACAGTGCCATAGCTTTTGAGAAAGTTTGGTTGTTGGTAAGAAATAAGAAAAGTTCCAGAATCTGGATTTTGTTGAGTGTTCTGATATGTTTTGTATGTAATGATACATATTTTCTTTTAATTTATTGCATAAAAGATGGTCTTGAAGATACAAATGTGTATGCATTAGCCTAGAATTTCCCATGAAAGTTACTACAAATTGAAAACTGTTCTGAGTAAGAATAGTTGTTTTAAGTTAGAATCCTTAAAACAAAAGTATTGTTTTATACTTCATCCCAGACCACTATTTTTATTAAAATTAGTACTGGTCTGTCTGTTGCTGTGGGGCAAGTCCACCTACACAGTATAGAAAATTTATTGATATTATTTTCGCAAATATGAAAATTTATCCTGTGGTTTATGTAATTCATATTGAGGGTAAGAACTTCAGAGTTTGAAAAGAGAAATCAGTATAGTTTTATGTTAGAGGCAGCAGAGTGATTCCATTATGACCTTTTACAAGCGTGTTCTTAGTCACAAAATAGTCAACACTGAATTGATTCCATTGCCATTTGACCACCATAGAGTTTCACAACATTTCATTTTAAAATCAACATTGTGCAATTCTATAGATTTTGTTTGCTCCCACTCAGGTTTGTTGATCATTGCTTATCCCTCCTCCTCCTTCTGTCAACAGAACTAACTGACAGTATGAATGTGTCCATCTTTTCTGCCTTTGTATCATTCATAAAATTTCCAGTGTACCTAGGTTAAATGTAATAAAAAGATTCATGTAGTTACCTACCTTAAAACTTGCTCAAAACTCTCAGGCGAGTTTAATATCTAATATGATAGCTTCAAAATTTCGATTTTTCTATTCATGCATAATGAATGAAGATAATTGATTTTCAGTTGTTGATAAGTTTCCATTCTTGCAATAATACACTCACATGGTTAAATTTAAATTCAAATAACTTCAGATAAAGAGTTTTTGCCAATGTGATATTTCTGTGTTTCTGTATTATATATTAGAATATCCATTTCTGATTGGTTCATTGGGTGCCATGTAATAACCATGTATCGTGAACGGATTCATACACCACAAAAACCGTAGTGTAAATAAACAACATTGATCATACTAGGCATTCACATACAGACCAGTAACAGTAGACTGTTTAGGTTTTACTCCAAGCTTTAGCATTGGTTGATATAAGGATGGAGAATAACAGAGGGTAAACCTTCTTACTTCTCTGTTGAATGTGACAAATCATGGTGTAAGTCACCTTCCTGGCAATATTTGATTTGCATCAAACCTCAGCAGATTGTTGTGCATTAATTCGCTTGTTATGATCATAAGATATGTAATTTGATACCTGCAAAAATTGTTGTTAACAGATAAATAAGATTTCACTCATTTATAAACTATCAACATTTTAGAAAGGAACAAACAGAGTGTATATTTGTGCATAATGTGTAAAATAGCATAATAGTCTTTACACTACAATAATTTTCAGAACATTTTCTGTATTAATCATACATTTGTATTATGGACACCTGTTCTATTAAGGGCAACCAAACATAGTGTTAATATCTAATTCTAACAAAAAAATTAAAAAAAAAAAAACTAGAAGAGAAAAAATCTGTTCTACATTCAGAACTTATCAGAAGTTTCTGTTAGTATATCTACCAATATGGAAACCAGTAATATTTTAAAGTAACATGCATCAGTTGCAATATTTTTTTTAGTTGGATTAAAGAAGAATTTTAAGTCTTTGTCTTGATAGAGGAATTGTCAAGTTACATGTACGTAAAAAGCATGTTTTTAAGTCATCTGACCTATAGCCATTTTGCTTCGTCTGTCATTGTCTGCCATACTCCTTCTGCTGTGCGTAAACTTTTGACATTTCAAATTTCTTCTCAAGTTCCTCCAATGGGGTTGAGCTCAAACTTGCATGAAATGATCCTGAGATGTCCTGACCAAGTGGTGTTATAACAGGTTTGTCTGAAATGCAAGATGGCCGCCATCTTGAAAAGCATATTTTAAACTTCTTCTCCAGTTCCACTGGTGCCATAGAGCTAAAAGCTGGTGGGAGTCTTAAGGAAAGGTAGCCAACAAAATGTTGTTATTTTTCGACCTTGTCAAAACTTTGATACGGCAGCCAGGGAGAACATTTTGTAACATGATTACGCAATCATGGTTTTCCTGAGCAACACCTATTTCAAACTTCTTCTCAAGTTTCACCAATGAGATTGAGATCCTGTCAAAAAATAGGTAACACTTGGTACAGTTACCTACTCCTCACCTCAACTACCATTTGCATCATGAAAAACAGCTTCTTAGTAAGATTTCATTCAAAGTAGAAAAAACAACCCTTCTCTCTGCTGAAAGTTTTTTGTAGTCAGATGACCGTTAAGGTCCATGGGCCTTTTGTTCAGAAGATTTTTGTTGTAATGAATTCAAAATCAATATGCACCAAATCAATACAAAAACCTAATAATGTGATAAACAGTAACTTATCTCAATTAAGAGCTTAAAACAGTTGAATCATGGCATTCTGTAAATTGCTATATATGGTTTTTTAATGCATTACAACTTAACATTTGTGTGTGTGTGTGTGAAAATGAATAGTAATTATATGTTGTAAGTTTAAATTCTATCACAAATTTAACTCTAAATACTTTATAAAATACTGTTCCCTACTGCTTCAGAAAGAAAGATTGTTCTTTATGACTCGTGCAATAAAATCAGCTTATGAGTGACTGGGTTTCTGTTTTATCTACTTACGTACCTAAATAGAGATTTGGTAAAATCTGCAATCTTTGCAAATTTGCAGTCTGAGTGTTTAATTTTGTAATTGGTGACAGATAAAAAAGGGTTTAAATTTGTGATTAGTGACAAATGAAAGAAATCTGCATTATTTAGCTTCATGAAAATGTATAGTTTTAACACATTTCAATGTATGTGTTCCCCAAGTGATAATTATATATTTTCACTTCTAAACTTCTGGTTGCTGACTTCTGAAGGCAATGACAGTTGAAATGCCATTTAATCTTATAAATAAGACAGTTATTACTTGTGTTAAAATCCAAATATTATTGCTACTAGCTTAAATGCAAAGTAAGAGTATATTGATTGATGTAGTTGCTTTAGTCCTTCATTTGTGTTAGCCTAATAAGCTGGAGGTTTGCAGTCTGATCCCAGGTCAAGGTATTGAAAACAGAGATATCATACATACAATATATATTTTTTCATACTTTAGAAACACATAATGTGTATTTGGTTTGCAAATGGTTTGTGGTAATTTTATAAAACCATATTAATTACTGGTGTGACTGTTACTCATTTTATTCTCACTGTTGAAATATCTTGCAAATATTATAGACACATCAGCTGTGTTCAAATTATTATATTTTTTTGTACATGTGTTTTTATTCTCATGTTTACATACAATGTGTAAAACTAATACAGTGTACTTAAACCAGTATTACCAACTGAAAAGGTATAGTAAACCTCCGGTCAGTTCAAATACACAGGTATTGATTAAGGTATTGGCATCACAATAATTGCTCCATGTGATCATTACTCACATTGATGTTAAACACTGGGTAGTGGGCTGTAAATGACCATCCTAAGCAATTGATATCACAAAATTAAACACATACATGTCACTGTTCAGTGTGATTTCTTTCACATCTTGCTGTCACACTGTGCTTGTTTGTGTCAGCTGATACAACTGAAGGCCCCAACTCTGTCAAAGGGCAACAGTGTTTCACTTTATATTTCTATAAGATAATAATGTTAAGACAATTCCTATTTATTATGTCAAATAAATAATTGTAGGAGTCATAGAGATTTTAACAAACATTAATCAGTAGACGTAATTCTCATCAATTCACAATCCGCACACTAGCATGTCAATGCTAACTTCAGCCAATAAACAAGCAGACATCTGTTTTTTTTTTTGGGAGCTACATTTAACATGGTTTCTTTGTAGTGACCACACTATGATGAAGAATAAAGAAAAAAATTTGTGATTTCTTAACAAGTGATTAACATGTACAGTCATTGTTTCAAAAGATTATCATGTTATAACACGGACTTATATACACTTATGTATAAGTCCGTGGTTATAATCAACTTGGATAGTTTGAACTTTCATTTATTTTCAAAAGCATGATTTTGTATAATTCAGAAGGATTCAACAGTAGTAATTTAATTTTGTTCAGACTGACTGAAGATATACCATACCACAATGTCATTGTCACGTTTGTTGATGAAATCGTTTCCTTGTGTATTCCATCCTTGTAATACAGAGTTATCTGCTCTTCTGAGTAGGAATGGATTAGTTTGTGTAAGAAAAAATGTGTCCTTTCTCATAACAATTTTCCCACAAACAGTTAGAACTTGGACACAAGAGCAGATAACTTTGCATTAGGAAAAATGGAATAATAGATGAGCATACTTTTAAAAGCACAAGGCATAGTGTCAACAGCAGAAAGTGATACTGGCACTTACATAGTAAACAGGGAATGTTTGAAATTGTCTTACAGATAATTATAACAAAGATAGGATTATTAAAATGATGATAACAATATTAAGTTTCATCAGATAAGTGCTAAAAGTAGGTAGAATGTGTTTCATTTCTTTGATATAAATTGTTGTATCTGGCCTAGTTGTACAAGGTACCAGTGCATTACAAAGCAGATAAATGATAGACGGAAGTTTTTCCAGAGAAATCACATGAGTACATAATTTTCTTGGGTCATAAGGCTCTAATAGATAGATATCACTGTTGAAGTTTGGACCTTTTACTCAGGGTCAATAAAATAACTGAGCATATTTGTGTTTATTTTTGTTTGTTTTGTTTTGTTTTTATATCAGCAAGAAAACATTTCGAGATTTGTTATTTCAGGACAAAAGGAGAAAATACGAAGGTTTTTGTAGTGTCACTGCCTTGCTATATGTTATTATTCATGAACCTTTTTTTTCAAAATTTTCATTTTAACTAATTTTAACTAATTTAGTTATGCTTTTGTTTCATCGCTTTCCAGAGCTTTAAATATATTTTGTATTTTCTGATTTTGTCCCTATAAAAGTATTGGATTTAAGACAAATCATATTTCTAAGAAGTTATTTCAAGATTTGTTATTTCAGGACAAAAAATGAAAATGACAAAACAATCATATTTCTGAACTTTTTCAAAATCTATATTTTAACTAATTTAGTTCTGCTTTTGCTACATCTTTTTCTATAAAAAATTTATTCCACTGTATGTATTTTCTGAAGGAGGTCTTTTTATGCTATAAGTGTATTGGATTTAAGACAAATGTTTAAGATTTATGAGTATAACCCAGCCATATTTATTCTTTGTAATAATAATCAATGGATGGTGTGATACTGAATTACCCAACTAATTTTCAATTGAAGAAGTCAACTTGCCTTTTTAACAAACATCTTTTTGCGATTTCTGTGAAAAGTTAATTAGAGAATGAAGCCCTTAAGATGCTGGTGGTATATGTATATAGGAAAGTGTTGTATTCAAAATAGGTGGATAATAATATTAATGCCAGGTGGTTTAAAATGATCTTCAATATTCTTACACACTGTAGCTTCATTATTTAATATTAGTTTATTTAATAATGCTATATTCCAATTATATCATTACCTGGGATGTTATGTCAATATTTTTGTCATAAAAAAAATGTTTTGATTAAAACTTTCAATGCCACAGCTTTTATGTTTGGATGTGAAATGCCATAAAGTTGGTTTTGTTTCATCAATAATCTTTGAATTCAAACACAAAAAAATATTCTGCTGAGCATCATTAAAAATGAAATTTATAATCGGGAAAGATTTTAAATTGTGAATCCCAGATTATTGTTTATTGGGTACAATTGTAATATCTCATTTGTCATACAAAAGTAATCTTAGACTGCTAAGGGGAGATTTTCAGTAGTTTAAGAATAATGGAA